TTATTATTATTATTATTATTGCTATTGTTGTTATTACTGCTGTTATTACTTCTTTGTCGTGAGTAGTGACTGTACTACCAAGATAGTGCCTGGGACCGATCAGATGGTGTGTTGTTCCAAGAACAGCACGGGCAGGGAGGAATAAGTGCTGGAGGTGTTTGCAGCCTGTAAAGGCAAGGGGGATGACATCAGGTGGATGAAGAGGTATCACGCAAGCAAAGTGATGACAGCTTCGTAATGTGTTGGTTTGTTTCTGTGGAAGGGTTAGCCAGCTGTAGCTCACTAAAGGGAAAGAAATTTCAGGAGATAAGGAACAGACCGAGAGAAGGCTGGGGACAAAAGATGCATGTGCGAAGGGAGAGTGAGGTGAAGGCAGTGAGGAGCTCACAGAGAGTCTCTGGTTCTTGCTCTTTGAAGTCACCTAACCACTTCTGTAATGAAACTAAAAACTGGTTCATGATTCACTGAAGCTCCTCATTTTAACCTCATAACTTCTGAAAATTCAAAGCTTGGTTGAGCCCAGCGGTGCCCAGACGCCATCTGTGCAGGGAGCTGGACTCTGTCTAAGCTGGGAATGATGGTAATGAGCACAGTTGGTTATTTTCCTCTTAGGTGTCAATATGTTTCCAGAGCTGGTTAGTGGCCCAAGAGAACCCAAGTTGTCATCTGCGTCTTTCTTTCCCTCTCTCACATGTAGGCTCGTTACTTTGCATTTGAGGGTTTTCATAGACTTTATGTCAGTGGACTTTCAGAAGAATATCACCAAGAGATCCATCCCTTTGGCAGTGCATAATTATCAGACAAAATACAGGCTTCACCACATAATTGGATGAAGAAACTTTCCTGCATTTTTAAAAAAAGACTTGTAGTTACTGTGACTTTTCAGAAAGACACAGCAAAACATGTTGCTTAAGTGAGAATTACAACCACACAAAGAATATCACATAGATGCCTCTCTAAAGAAACAACTCCAAAGCAACCAAAACAAAAGCCCTGCTTCTTTGAGACTGACATCTAAAACCAGACCACACAGATTTGTTCCAGAAAAGTGAGAGGTTCTTGCAGTCTTTGAGGGATAGCAAAATATGAGCCACAGATTTGATGCCTGATTTTTAGAACTGGAGTAAGGCTTTTGGCATCTCCTGAATCAGCAGGTAGAGTGTTAAGCAGCTTGCAGAATCTAGTGATTTGTGTTGAAAAAAATATACAAGACATTTTCACTGTAAAACAGCGCTTTGAAAACTTGATTCCTCTTCAGAGTTGTGCTGCCAGGCTCTGTTTTTCCTCTGTCATCACTGGAGGTCAAACCTATCTTCTAGGATGTATGTGCTTGCAATCCCACCTTCAGCTGCCTTCCCCATCACAAAAAGGATTTAGGGTTCAGTGAAGGGTTGTGTTGGTAATTTTCTCCCCCTTCATGTCTTGTGCAGTTGCAGAGATGCTGTAAAAGCAAGGGCTGAATTCCTCTGGATCTTGTTTGGACAGAAGATAAATGACTCTTAGGAGTTTAAACTTCTTTAAAGCGTTGCAGCACAACTTTTCAAATGTTAGAGGAAATGCAGTAAAGAGAAATCAAAGACCTTTTTACAGTGCTTAAATAGGCAAATTTCAGGTATGGAGGAGCACAAACCTGTATTTGCTTGCTCCGACAAGGACTCCTAGGACAAATGGCCTCCGAGGAGAAAGCTTTCCTTTTCCTTTAATTTTCCAAAACCAACTTTCACACTGCAAGAATGTCAGAGCAGATGTGAGCCATGAAATTATGTCAAACAGATCAGAGAAAAATGAGACATGGAAGATTTAGTTATTTTAAATAGGCAGGATAAATTCCTTGTAAATGTATAGTTTTTAATTTGGCTTTGGTAAGTGGTGTGCTTATAAGTCTGGGGGTCATTTAAACTTCCCTTGAGTAAACCAAATTGTTCTTGTTTGTTTTACAACTTAAAGGACAAAAAACTCAAAGAACAAGAAAAGAAAGGGGAGATTCTTCACCGTCAGCTCCCAAAGAAAACAGAGAAAAGTCCAGATTCATATAGACAGCCTTCTTCCTGTCTTATCTCACAGATACAGAACACCAAGGCTCTGCTGAAGGACCGGAAAGTCACCAAGGCTGGAGGCCCAGAGAAAGGTCAGTGGGAGGAATACCAGTGGTGTGTCCCTGTGCACGTGGGCACACACAGTATTAATGAGAGTGTCTTGTGTGTTGTGTGTTTGTTAGTCAACAGTCGTGGGCTTGAGTTTGCTGTCTGCTCTGGAGGTGGTATGGGAAAGAGGACTGGGTAACGTAGTCAAACGTTGAATGAAACTTCCTGAGGAAACCATGACAATGTTCAGCAGTCATGAGTGCTCACTTTTACTTCTCTTTTTATTTGACAGAATTCACAGAGTGTTTTAAAAAAAGCTTTCTATCCCTATTTATATGTACTTGTACAAAATCATCTGTACTTCACACTGATGCTTTGAAAGCATCAACACCCACCCCAGATCACTGACAAACCAAAGCTGGTAGAGAAGCTTCATCCTACCAGGGAATGCGTTTTGCTCAGAGAGGGATATGGGGCAGCATGGGGAAGAAATCCCTGACTTGAGAAGCAGTGGGGGAAGCAGTGGGCAGCAGCTGATGGTGGAGGAAAGGGAAATAGGCAGCCGAGAGGAAATGCAGGTGGGATTGCCAACCCCAGCAAATTTCAGGCAGCGAAAGGAGTGGGGAAAGCATTAGCAGGGAAAGGAAAAGACAAGGCAGCCAGAGAAGAGCAGAGCATTAATCACGCAGGGTAGGAGGTGGCCTGGGAGGAATGGGTGAGAGCTGCTCACAAAAAGAGGCAGAAGAAAGGAGTGGAGGAAAAGGGGAGTCAGCAGGGAAAACAGGGTGTGGGTAGTGCATTTGTGGACAGGAGACACTGAGGAGCAGGAAGGTTACGTAGCTGGATGTTAAGCGAGGGAACTAAATGAGAGGGGGTCACTGCAGAGCAGCGGGGGGAAATATGGAGATGTAAAACATCTGTGATGTCAGAGGGTTATTTAGTGTGGTGGCTTATGGTGTTTTTATGTTCTTTCTCGTGACTTGATAATTTATCATTTGATGTTTTCTACCTAAAAAAATGTCAAAATGGTGTTCATCTGGCAGCACAGGCACCTCTGCTGCAACATAGCGGTAGTTTGTGGAGCTGGTCAGAAATGGGACATACTTTTTGTGAAAAATGTGAAAAAACATTTAAAAATGCTCATTTCGTTCAGAATTTGCCATTCCTTTTGTGAGGGAGGCACAAGGAGAAGTAAACCTAGTTCATTTTTTTTTTCCTCTTTAGATTTTTCCCTGCTTTTTTGAACTGAAACTTGAAAATCATTCAGATCTCAAGCTAAAGCATTTTGGCTTTATGGAGCATTTTCTCCATGCTTATGGAAACCATGTTTTGACACTTCTTAAATGAAGTGGTCAAATAGTTTTGACTAGTTTTGGAAATAAACTAGTCAGATTAAACCTGTTCTGCTTTTTCCAAACAATGCTCCATGTGAGTGATTTCATCCCGTACATCCATTGAGGTCTCAACCCGTGCCGTGACCATCCCTTTCAAAAGAAATACATGTGAGATCTGTGGCTGTGACCTGAGAGCTAACAGACCTGAATTATTTTATATCCCTTTTAGATAGTTTGAGACTGAAGGAACTTGCAGACAGTGATTAACTGCCAGTCTGCTATTCTTTCAATTAGGGGGAACCTAGCAAAGCAGGCTCCTTGGAAAGCTTTCCACAGTCGTGTTTTTCTGTGACTAACTTGGCATAGGCGAGTGCCAGCATCCTGTAGAAACTGAACAGATCTTCTCCACGAGCTGTTTTGTTTTACTGGGCCAAATCCTGCAAAGATTGTTCCATTTATATTCAGTCCTTGCTGGAGGAAGATTCTCGCTGAAGTCGGTGCAGCACAAATCTGTTCCAACTGTAACAGCCTGAATCTGGCCGTTGCAGCTACTCCATATTTACATGTGTGAAACCAAGAACAGATTTTTTTCCAAAATGCAAGAAAAGACATTAGGGATTAACTCACTGTTGTCCCCCGTGTCTCTGGGTATGTCAGTGAATACAGTACACAGACCCAGTTAAACCATGTTGTGCTAAGAAAGGAGAAATGTGAGATTTCTCAGACATGGCCTTAAAGGACATAATTAATATAAACAGCTGAGGATGTCTGTGGTTTTCCATTTCATGTCCTTGTCTTACTCAGTTTAAGCACTCCTCCTGCCTTTGAGGAAAGTGGCAGATAAATTACCCATGAAACAACAACGTAAGTCTCAAGTAAGTGTCAGGGAATTAGGTTCTGAGTATGTCCCTAAGACAGTTTGGTTTAGCTAGTGCATTTGTCACGCTCTTCTCAAATTTGTTAAAGGTGATGTCAGATGCTGTCTGCCGTAAGGCAGAGAAGACAATGCTATTAAACGCAGTCTGCTCTTCTGTTTCCTTTTCTGATTGCTTTGCAGACTCGAGTGGTGGGGTAAGCCCTTTCCACGAACCCCTGGCAACCAAGACGGGCTGCGTCACTTCCAGCTCCCTGGAGTACCTCGAAGTCCAGCAGCCACCCCCGAGAACCCCTCGGCTCCTCAAGAGGCAGGAGTCCCCGCAGCAGGAGCCAGCCCGGATCGGGGGCCGGGCAAAGGACTCTCCTCTCATCCTGAATATTGTACACTCCTTCGAGTCAGTTGACAGAGAGGACCAAATAGACCAGGTTTCCCCCTCTCATCAGTACAGGATTTTAGGCTCACCAATGAATTTCCCTTACAAAAGCTCAAGTGAAAGGACACTGTCCCCGCTTTTTCAGCCAGGGAGTACGTCCCCTGTCCACCCCACCCAAGTCTCTTTCACGTATGAAGAAAAAGCATATCTGGCAAAGGAAGAAACAGTGTCCCCTACTCAGCTGGTTTCCAACAACCCCTTGGGCAGCCCTAACTGTGTTAAAAGCAGAGGCAGATTCCCCATGATGGGGATTGGACAGATGCTGAGGAAGAGGAACCAGACAATGCAGTCGGCGAGCGACAAGCCGCTGGAAGCAAGGATGCCTCAGCTGCAGCAGATGAGCCCCACACAGATTTCCTTCAATGCAGCAGATGC